GGACGACGGTGGTGGCCGAGGGAGGGCCGAGTGGCGGGCGGCGGGGCGGGACGTGCGGCGGGACAGACCTCTGCGCCGCGCACCGCCCCCGACCAGTCCCCGGCTCGCTGCGGCGCCCTCTCTCCGCCCCGGCGCCCGTCCTCCACCTCCGCCGCCGCAGCCGCGCGGCGGCGCTTGCGGTGCTGCGGCGCAGAAGCGAGGAAGTCGTCGTCGCTGTCGTCGCCACCGCCGCGCCCCAGCCCCGCCTCGTCGTCCTCGTCCTCGTCCTCCTCCTCCTCCTCCTCCTCGCTCAGCACCGCCGCGCGCTGCCTCCTCCGACTGCTCAACGCGCCGCTCCAAACGCCGCCGCCGCCGCCGCCACTGCTCTCGCCGTCGCCGCTGTCGCTCTCGACCGCGCCCTCGCTCGAGCCGCTCGCCTCGTCGGACGAGCTCGCGCGCCGTGCCGCAGCCTGCCGGGCCGCCGCATCCCGTCTCACCCGTTCCAGCTCCGCCCGGCGGCGCCGCCGCTGCTCGTGCTGCCGGCTGCTGCGAGACGCCTCTCCACGGACGGGCGGCGGCTCGGCGGCGGCGGGTGCGGCAGCGGCGCGGAGCCAGGCGTGTGGCGCTTCTGCTCGCCGCCGCGCTGCGTGCAGGCGTGAGGAGGGGATGAGGGTGAGCCGGTGGAAGCGCGGCGAGGGCGCGAGCGGTGCGAGTGGTGCGCACCCCACTCGTCGCCGTCGAGCAGCTCGGCGTCGTCGGAGAGGCACAGCGCGAGCGCGAGGACGTCAAACAGTGGCTCGAAGTCGTGCGTGGCAGAGACGCCCGGCAAGAGCCTCATCCCGCCATCTAAAAAAAAACCGTGGCCCTGGATGTGCGGTTAATGACTGCACTCCAAGTGCTCCAAGTGCTTGAGCCAGGAAACATACTCGTTCTGTTGCCATCCCAAACTGTCACTCCCCTTTCTCCCGGCCGGGGCGGGGCGCGCGCGGGGGCGGCGGGTGTGCGGCGAGTGTGCGGGATGTCTGTGGGCCCGAGAGCGATATGCCATGTCCGCCTTGCGTTTGTTTCATAACATCGAAGGGCCATGTGCCCCTCGCTTTGTTTCCTAACATCGAAGGCAAACTCCGCTCAGCCAAAGGCGTAATGGACCAAAAAGCCGCTGAGGCCGCATTTCGAAAAAGAATTTTCGCGCGTAACGTGGACCGCAACCTTATTGGGGTCGCCTCCAAAACTTGCGATGTTGGCCTGGACCCAGCGCAGGGCATTGAGGACGTCGTGTAGCATCCAGTTCCCACTGTACGAGTTTCCGTCAATCCCATTGCGGAGCGCGGGATGCGACAGGCCACCTAGGACGCCGACTCGGTGGGTGACCCTGACGGTGACAACCGGCTTCTCGCCAGGTCCGGCGTACGTGTCGTCCTTGAGGAGAGATGGGTCCAAGGATCCTCCGAGCACGACCTGGACCGGGTATGACCCAGGCGCGGCGACGGTGGGCGACCCGGTCAGGTCGAGGGGGTTTGATGGCGCGATGATGTCGACGGCGAGGCAGTCTTCACTGCCTACTACTCCGGAGTCGCCGACGTGAAGGCACTGCTTGCTCTCGATTGTCGTCATAGGGAGAGCCCAGGTAGCCGGTGGCTGCGGCTCTTTGAAGCGGTTCGCTGCACCGGTGGTCGCGGCGACAGGAATGCCAAAGAACCGGTTGACGCCATCGTACCGCGAGTATTTACCAACGACCGAGCCGTACTGGGTTGCGGCGGTGACATCGACGCCGCCCGCGGTGACTGCGGTGACCTCGGCGGCGAAGGCGAGCAAGACGGTCGCCAGAATCGGCGCGGCCATCATCACTAGCGAGCACCCGCGAAGGCGAACAGCGGGGGCGAGAGGCTACGAGGCTACAACGGGTACGGTCGTAAAGCGGCGGGCGCGGCGCTTCCGGTAGGAACGAAATCGCGATGCGGAATTGAATGAAAGAAAGAAAATTGCCTCACAATTTCCCGGCGAATGCCTGGTAGCGCATCACACCCCTCTCCTTAAAATCCCTGTGTGGTGGCGGCGTGCCGTCCTCCCATCCCTCCCTTGGGTTGTCTGTTTTCTTTCTTTCTTTCTGCCTGCTGGTAATTTTTTTGAGCTAGCCTTCGATGTTATGAAACAACTCTCTCTCACAACAAACCCCCCCCCCCCAGCAGACAGACAGGCTCGACACAGGTGCGGACTGGCGCGTGCTAGCACTATCACAGGCAAACCGTCGGTGAAGCATGTCCGCACTTGGAGCACTTGGAGTGCAGTTAGTTGCCGCACGCCCAGGACCGGGGAGCATTTCTTTCTTTTTTATGGCCCACTCCTGACTCCTTTCTCATTGCCGCGAGCCCGTATCGCGCGATAATGCGAGGAAAAGAAGAAAACATTCCGTCAGGCCCTAACGTGACAGCCTGACAGGCCCGACAGCCCGACAGCACACAGTGGCCTGACAGCAGCGCTGACAGCCGTCAGCCCGACAGCCCGACCAGCCCGACAGCAGCACAGACCGTACACAGACCGTACAGCCTCGTCCTTGTGCCCCATGAGGAGAGTTTAACAAAACTATTGCATGCACATGTGCATGCACATGTGCATGTGCATGTGCATGTTGTGAGTGTGCCCATGTCCATGTCCATGTAGCCATGGGATGGTCATGGGTCTCTCTGACTTTCAACCCTCCCGCCTCACCTCTGCGGACCCCTAGCACCGGCGGCTGTGCTACTACAAATGAAGCTACCAGCTAGCCTTCTGGGGCCCCCTACAGTCATATGCCTACGACGTCTGGGTGGGGGTGGCCGCCGCCGCCTGTGCCGCCGCCATGGCCTGCGCCTGCGCCGCCATCTGGGTTCCCCAGGAGACCTACTGTGTGGATCTACTCTCACTGGCTGGGGTCTCCTCTTGATAGTGTCATAAGTGTGGCTGGTGAGTGTCAGAGCCTGACAGCACCCCAACAGCACCACCTGACAGCACCTGACAGCACCGGCCTACGTCTGACAGCAGCAGCAGCCTGACAGCTCTGACAGCTCCGACAGTGTCTGACAGCAACACCCGACAGCTCAGACAGCACCCGACAGCACCAGAGCACCTCGCCTGTCAGACAAGCACCCGACAGCACCCGACAGCACTGACAGCACCTGACAGGAGCTGGTCTGACAGAGGCACCTGACAGTGCCTGACAGTGCCCGACAGCCCGACAGATCACCTGACAGCACCTGACAGCCTGACAGCCAGGGCTCAGAGCTTTCTTGTAAAATTCTTTCTTTGTTTCTTTTTTTGTTTCTTTCTTTTTCCCGGAGCTCTCATCTCATCTCTCTCTCTCTCTCTCTCTCTCTCTCTCTCTCTCTCTCTCTCTCTCTCTCTCTCTCTCTCTCTCTCTCTCTCTCTCTCTCTCTCTCTCTCTCTCTCTCTCTCTCTCTCTCTCTCCCCCCCCCCCCTCTCTCGCGGCTCGTCGAGAATTCTCAAAACAGAGCAGACGCCGTCCCAGCATGCAGTCTTCTTTGCCACCGCCACCGCCTCCGCCATGGCTCCTCAACCAGCTTCCGGAAATCGACGAAGCCTTCGCCCAGCGTGGGGGCAGCACGCCGTCGCCAGCCGTCGTGCTTGTCGCTGCGTTGAGCAAACGCACCAACTTCTCTGTCCTCGCCGGCGACCTGCGTAAGCACTTCGACGGTTGGGACTGCGTCGCCGTCGCGTGGCACTCGCGCGTGCTGTCGAACGTTGATGTCGCGGACGCACCTGGTGATGACGGCGCCGCTTTCCTGCGCTCGCGGTGCGTGATTGTGCTGCGCGAGGGCATGAAGTGGGGCAGCCTGGTCAACCTGACACGCGGAGCTATCGCGCGGCGCGGATACGAGCACGTTGCGCTCCTCCTCGACGACGTCAAGCTCGGCGACTCCTTCAACGCGACCGAGCTGATCCACCTGAGCAGGACACACCGCCTCGGCGTGCTCTCGCCGCGCGTCGGTCACGCGACGTACGACCTGATGCAGGGCAAGTACGCCCCCCGCGGCTGGCCGCACTCGGCCGAGCGGGTCGTGAGGCTCACGGCGCTGGAGCAGTACGCCACGCTCTACTCGCGCGCCGCGTGGGGGTGCATGACAAGCCTGATGGACGACGCGGTGAGCCGAGATGGAGCCGACGAGATGGAGCCGAGATGTGGAGCCGACGCGAGATAGAGCCGAGGTGGAGCCGAACAGAGCCGAGCAGCGACACTCGAGGTGTGGACTTGGCGCCACAGGAGTGAGACGCCAACCAGAGACCCGACTCCCGAGGGATCGCCGCCGGGGGACGGGCGAGTTACAGTGGCCACGGCTCAGGTGTCTCTCGCCTCAGGTGCAGAGCACGACGCATTACTAATTGATTACTGGCTTACCACAGGTGCTGCACGAAGCGCGCCACGCCATCGGGTGGGGCTACGACCGCTGCTACGAGCCGCACTGCGCGCTGGCCGCCGGCGGGCAGGCGCTCGTTCCATCGCAGCTCGCGTCGCACTGCGGATCTCGCGGCGCATTGTACACGCACTACCGCCTTGGCGGGCTGGGCGCGCGGCAGGTCAGGGCGATGCAGGGCTGGGTGAGGCAGCGGCACAACCGTTCGTGCGCCCCGTACGCCCTCTCCCCCAACCAGGACTTGGTGAGGCTGCGCAGCGTGTGGCCCCGTACACCCTCTCCCCCAACCGATACGGGCGCCACATGCGCTGCGTGAGCAGATAGATGCCAAAATGAGCTGACGTATAAGTTTGGGCCCACGCTTTTTAACATACAACTTACTAGTGTGGGACCTGCGGCGGTACCCGTCTCTGTTGTTCGGGCAGTGAGAGACGCAGGATCTGCACGCCAAAGTGAGTTCGTGGCACTCATGACTCATCAGTCAGTCACGTCAGTCAAAGCAGTTCGTGGCACTCATCAGTCAGTCACGTCAGTCAAAGCAGTTCGTGGCACTCATCAGTCAGTCACGTCAGTCAAAGCAGTTCGTGGCACTCATCAGTCAGTCACGTCAGTCAAAGCAGTCGTGGCACGTGGAGCAGTCGCTGCATGCAACGGCGCCGCCACACGCTCCGGACGACCCCGACAACCGACACACCACGCACAATGGGAGGCTATCGCGCACGATCGGGCATCGCGCCGCAAACAACTCGCCGCACAGATGGGGGGGGAGGCAGAATCCCACACACACCGGAGCAGCACAGACACCTTACAGCTTACACGTCAGCGCTCGCTCGATGTGGCCGGCGCTCTCCCCTCGGTCCTATCTCGCCATTTCAACGGCGGCGTGCGGCCACGCGCCGCGCCGAGCCGGTCTCGGCGGGAGACCTCGGAGCCGCACGCGATGCGGGCATGCGCGATGGCTCCGTTGGCTCCGTGCCTAAGGCAGATCGATTAGGGTGTGAGCTGCGGCAGCCACCGTTTCTGTACGCTCGATCACGTGCAGGCCGTCGGAGGCCGCGCTGGATGGCCCAGGGCCGGCGGCGGTGAAGGCGTCCGTCGATGAAGGGATGTCGTAGAGGGAGCCATCGTCCTCCGCGGCTGGTGCACCGGTCCAGTTGTCGGAGTTCGAGATCGCAGTCGACTTGGAGAGTGTGTTCGGCCCGTTGACGAACTCACGGAATGTGAGCGACTTGGTGCACGCTGGGTCGAGCATCATGACTCGCACCTCATCCTGGGCGAGGAACTCGCCCAGGGACCAGCTGTTGGCGTCGCCGTTTTGATCGAGCTGCATCCACTGCATGGTTTCGTAGTCAAGCGTAAACGCCCAGGAGTTGGTGCCTGGGTGACTTGCTGATGAGAGCGCCTTCCAGGCGGGTAGTCGTGCCCCTCACCTACGGTCATACGGCGGCGTCAGAGGGGGGGAAGGGGCGCGAAGCGTGAACATGGAGGCAAGCAGGTTGGTTTCTGCACCTGGCCAAAGCCGGCGACCTCGAAGTTGTCGTAGCTTGTGCGGATATCGCTGAGCGTGAGAGGGACCGGATCGGCAGCAGCATGGGCGGCCGCGTCAGCGGCCGGAGAGGCCGGAGAGCCATCCGACGGAGGCCGGTCGTGCATCGGCGCGTCAGCCGCAGGGGCCGGGGGGGCGGCGGCATCCATCGCTGCGGGTCGCTGCGGGCCGACGATTGTGGACTGATCGATCGTGGCGGGCGGATTTCGGCTGGGACGTTCTACGGTTAAACCAAGAGCGTCGGCGCGGACACGAGAGACTTATAAGGGTAGAAGGAACTATGAGGGCCCACAGCGATCAGCGTCCTATACGTATACCTAATCTACAATATGAGGATTACGGATTCAGACTTCGCTTTAGTGAGGCCAAAGTGAGTTTTTATGGATGGGTGAGAACGAATGCGCGACACGAGGAGGCACGCGGACCGACTCGTCGGCGACTCTGCTGCACGCAGTTTCAGAATTTTTCTCAGCGTGAGCGAGACGTGGAAGAGTGCCACCGTCGGTACGGCCAAAGATCGACTCGCATGTCGATTTCGACTTGACGGCAGCATGGAGGCATCACGTCTCCATGCTGCCGTCAAGTCAGAGCCAGTCTGCGGCGACCACAGCGCTCACCGCAGGGATATGCGAGCTTTTTCAGAGTCAAGCGATTGCGCGAAATCCCACACTGTGGGCCCCCTAATATAACATAAAACGGTCAACGCCCTCTTTTTTGGTAAAGGCAAACCAGGGGAAGGACCCTCACCGGCGCCTCAGTTGCGCCCTGGGGGTTGTGCGGGCTTGCGGCGCCAGCCCCTCCTGCTCGGCTCCATCCAGCGTGTAGACAAGTGTTGTCATCAACAGACAGAGTAGAAAGAAGAATCTGACCTCGGGGGTCGGGGCCGATGCCGTGGTAGCGTGGTTTTACCTCACACCCATGGTCGCACAGTGTGTGTATCGCGCGCCTTGCGGGGGGGGGGGGGGGGGGGGAGAGGATCCTCAACCCGGGCGGCAGGGGGTCGTGTCGCCTCCCCCCCCCCCCGGGGGGTCGGGCCGGCTCTCCTAAAGAAAGAAAGAAAGAAAACCGACAACCCAAGGGAGGGATGGGAGGACGGCACGCCGCCACCACACAGGGATTTTAAAGGCCGGCTCTCCTTGGTCGACGAATCGCCGACGTGTTTTTTACTTTGGCGATGGCCGACCCTGACAACTTCCGCGTCCACTCCATCGACCACATCAAGAAGCTTCCCGACGCGGACAAGGCGCGTGCCATCCTCGAGGAGTGTGCGCGCCACATCAGGCCGCTGCTACAGGCCCGCCGCTTCCCGCAGCCGCGCTGCTCCGTCCGCAGTGCGTTTGCCAGCGCTCGCGACCGCGCCGCGACCGCCTCGCAGGCACGTCGCTGGCGCGTGCTCAAGCTGTACGAGATCTGCTGTTGCACCGCGGGCGGGAAGAACCTCGGCGTGGGCGGCTTCTGCTGCCCCGCCGGCGACGGCGTCACCTCGCTGCGGATTGCGATCCGGCTCCGCACGCCCGGACACGGGCCGCAGGCGGATGAGTGGGGCGCGCACAGCCTGCGCGACCTCGATCACGCGATGAAGGTGCTCATCCACGAGGTGTCGCACATCGTGCACGGCAACCACTCGGCCGCGTTTTACACGCTGATGGCCGAGCTGACGAGGCAGTACGAGACGTACCTCCAGAAGGGGCAGGTCCTGGACGAGGCGGGCATGCCGCTCACCGGAGGGCGAAAGGCGGACGCCTCTCGCCACAACCCGTCCCTGCGCGAGGCGCGACTCGCCGCCCTCGGGGCGGCCGAGGCGCGCGCGCGGACTGGCGCGATTCTGGGCGGAGGGGGCAGGCTCGGCGGAGGAGGAGTCGGAGTCGGAGGCGGAGGCGGCGGCGGCGGCGGCGGCGGCGGCGGAGGCGGCGGAGGAGGAGGAGGTGGCGGAGGAGGAGGCGGAGGAGGAGGCGGCGGGGCCGTCGGCGGCGGCGGGTCGTCGTCTTCATGGCGGGACGCGGCGCCGGGCTTGATGGCTGCGCGGGCGGCGGAGGAGCGCGCGCGCGCGTGGGACGTGGCGAACGGGCTCGAGGAGCTGGAGCTGGCGGCGGCGAGGGAGGCGCAGGCGGCGGGCGGCGAGGCGGGCGGCGCCGCG